TTTGTTTTATTCAACAGAAAAAGAAAGTGGAGCAAGTTCCATTCCACTGCAAGAAATCTAAGCAGGCTTTCAACATTCCTTGTCCCCCCCCCCCCCCCCCCCACCCGAATAAAAAAAAAGTCCTCCTTCAAAGAGAAAGGATTGTTACAATTCAGAATTTCAAGACGCCAAGTTCAGGTTTCGTGCAATGCATTCAGTACACAAAAGGGGAATGCAACTTCCGGCTGCTCTTCGTACCTGGACCCAATCATCACCGGGCAGGAATGTCAGAGATGCAGGTTTACTGACGCACGGGAGCGGGGTACAGGACACGTTGCAATGTTCAACGGTACACAGAACTGTTAAACCACTCCCATCCTATACGAGGTTTTGAATGCATGTTCCATTCAAACTTTGCATTCAAACATTCAAAAAAAAAAAACTATCCTACACGGACAAGAGCGAGGACTGGGTGCCGATTGATCGATATGATGGGAGTTGCTGTGAAAATCAAGCGCTGTCAGGAAAACGAGTCTCATGTTCAATCGGAGGTCAGATTTATTCAGATTTCGGATGGGGCGGGTATCGGCGGCAGATGGGAAACGACAAAGCCGACGAAATCAAGGGCAGCGAAAGGCTCCCTATTCAAAAGGCACCTCGTCTGAAGCCCAACCAGACGCGAACCGCCAACGAAACCGAGCCCATTTAAAAATTAACACGTTTAAAAAACACCGATTCCAAGTTAGAACAAGGAATGTACCCATGTCAGATCTGGTACCATGCCCTGTCGTGTCAATAATACAGCCAGCGGAGTTAATACTATCGGATTTAAAAATCCAGTTCTTGAAAACACCGACCGTCAATACAGCATTTCCACCTTACTGTTTCACCTCGGAAGAATAGGGAAATAACAGGACGAGTCGCTTATAAACACGCTCATAATTTATGAGCATCGGGGACAGGCAAGCGTAAAAACAAAGCAGTTTATCGGTTGCAAAAGAAAGTTCAGAATAGACAATATTCCCTTACCAGCCATCTTGAATTGAATTCTGCAAGGCACGGTGTCACCGACACTTCCTGAAACTACTTCCTCGACTGCTCCTTCCGTCACTTTAAAAAAAAAAAACAAACAAAAGCCTGCAATTTGTAGTTGCTATTTTACTTTATTAAATATGCGGTTTTCGGAATTCGAAAACGATCACACTGGACGAAAATAATAATGCGCATCGTTGTCTTTTTTTAAATAAAATTCCTCCCCGGTCATGTGACCGGGAGAGGGCTGTCCAAGATGGCGGCTGCTGCTACAGTCTCAACCAACTCAAAGAAATCATTCGAGATCGAAACAACCGTAAAAGATGCTTTCTAGCTTGGCAACGTAAAGACCTACATTGATTTTTTTTGTTTTATTTTTAATTTTTTCACCCCCCCCCCAAAAAAAAACGTTTTCAGCTGTGTCCTATTGGGTGGAGTCGGGATTGCAGGTTTCATACCGTTGGAATGTTGATAAAGTTTTTATTCTTTCCGAGATCGATATGGCGCTGAGAGAGTTGAAAGTTTGCCTTCTTGGGGTAAGCAATGGATTTTCGGCATCTATTTGTACATCAGTTTGTTTAGATGTAATTGACGGGCGAATCTGACACTTACCCTGCATTACCTATGTAGCCGATAACTATCGATACCCTGAACAGACTAGTGTGCCGTTCTGGCCATCAGATTTGATGTTATCTGAAATCCGGCTATTAACCGTCTATGATCTAAAAGCTGATAAACACATTGAGGACTGTTAAGGGGGTGCTGATAAACATTCCGGTTTGCTAGCTTTCGTGGGCATCAAATTAGGTGGTAACCGCAGCTTTTCCACAGTCCATGAGAAACAACGTCTTGATATATTGACACACCTAAAGAAGGCTCCACAGCCGAAACGTTGTGTCGCTTTTCTTTTCCTTCCAGCTGGGAATAAACCTTTATCTGTATCTCTGCAGCCTGCGCACGCTGACGCAGCTCCCTACCTGGACGTCTTGAAATGTTTACGTTCACAACTAGTTCACAACTCGTTTTTCAGTTTTTAAAGCACGGCGTTGTCATGGGGGCAGGATTCTGGCTGCTTTACATGGTCAGAGTTCATTATTTCAGTCTGGAGCACTATGGGGGTGAAGGCAATTTCTGGGTCGAGGGCTGGAAGCTCAACTGATTCATTCCATTCAGTGGTGTAAGTCTAAACACTGGGGCAAAATGGCACAGACATGATTGTCATACAGTTGTACTTCAACATCTGTGTGTCATTTTGTAGTTGCCATTAGAGTTACGTGTGAGGCTGTATTGTCTCTATTTTTAACTGGACCTTCCAAAGTGTCAGCATTCGTGTGCAAAAATAATTCTAGGGATGCCAGTCAGTAATTAGCTGGTGTGCTGTGGAATGCTGAATTTTCCTTTCTTGTTCTCAAGTGTTTTGGCATTTTTAACTTTGCAGTTTTGACTTTGGAGCTGTGAATGTTTGTGAAGGGTTTCAGAAGCAGTAGGGGATGAAAGGTTATATTTTTCCCTGACTGCTACAGAGTTGCTCGTAGTTTAGCTGCCTCTCTTGGGTGAGTTGTATTTTTAGCTGGAGCTTCAGGGTGTAGAGAGGAAACTACCCCCCCCCGCCTCTTCTCAGTGCATGTCAGTACAGGAAGTGGTAGAGACGGTGTCTGCTGTCTGGCCACCCTCTCAGTGTGGATGGAAAACCTGTAAGACTGTGTTTTTGGACCTCTGCTGAGATATAATTGGTTCAGTTGGAATCCCCCCACACATACACCTCATTAGGGCTTAATTAGTTGCTAACTGAAGAGCACCAGCAGTACTTGCAGGCACTTCCCTTCCATACAGACCAGGGTTGTCCATTCCTGTTGTAGTGCAGGGCTGGGGAAAGGAAATCCGTTGTCTCGTTTCTCCTGCCTTCAGCACGAAGTAAACCTTTACCTATTCCTTTGCTGCCTTTCGCAAGCTGATGCAGCTCCCCACTCTCATTTCTTCTAACGGCTGATTAATTATTTGATCAAAAACACCTTGCTGTGTCAAAGATCTGCGCTGGACGTCCAGTCTGCATGATGGATGCCCAGCTTCCGGGGTGGCTCTGTCCCATAATTACTTAATTGAACTAATTGTAGCAAAGGTGGTCCAGTTAGACTGCCCATGAGCTTATTAAGGTTACGATTTCAAGGAGACTTCAGCCCATCCAGCTTATTTCGTTTTTAATGGCTAATGGATCCTAGGATCTTGCTTGTCAAGCCAGGGTATCATCCTTGACATTCTGCCTCAGCTCTTTGTGCTGACAAATGAATGGGTTTTAAACACTTCCACTTGCGCCCTCTAGTTCAAGTTGCCCTGTTCGTCCTGGGGAAGTTCACCGGGCTGACTGTGTCCGTGCCTTCAGGACATCCCCGCATCCCTCCTGGTCCAGGGCAGTGTGGCTGGTGTCCTCGGGTGGAGAACTGCTCTCCTCCCCTCGCGCTGAGTGAGGTGGGCCGTGGGTGGTGACAGATGGGTGAATCCCCATGTGGTTCCTGCACTGGGGCCTGTGAGTGGGGAGCACACACAGCTTATTTAACACCAGCCTCCTCATTTGAGCAGCGCTCTTTGATTTTTGTAGGCGATTAAAAAATCATTCATGCGCGTATTCTTGCGCTCAGACGTTATTTTTCATAACGCTGTACGCGTGCCTCCCATGTAGACGTTTGAGCAGGGAGCTGCGTCGGCATGCTTTGGCTGTCGGGGAATGTGCGAAGGTAAGTTCCCCGCTGGAGAGTGGACAGAGGAAATGGCTGTCGGGCGTCTCCAGGTGTGGTCACCCGAAAAGCCAAAACGTTGCGTTTCTTCGTTCTACCTTTCAGCGGGGAATTTACCTTCGCCTTTTCCTTTACTCTGCTGACAGTTTGTTTGTTTCTGTTCCCTCTACAGGACACAGGGGTAGGAAAATCCAGCATTGTTTGGAGGTTTGTGGAGGACAGCTTTGACCCCAACATTAACCCGACTATTGGGTAAGTTCTTGACATCTGCTGTGGGACAAATCAACATGGCGCTTTCCAGTTGTTTTTTTTTAAATGCCTTTCTTGTACTTTAATCCCTTGCAATGCTGTTGTGCTGCTTCTTACTTTGAGAAGGTGTCAAAAATGTCCTTGGCATTGCCACTGGAAGCGCAGGAATGCAGCTGTGCAGGCTGAGCTGCAGGTGTGACTGAGGAGGGGACGGGCCTGCGGTAAAGGCGCTGTGTGTGCTTTGCAGGGCGTCCTTTATGACGAAGACCGTCCAGTACCAGAACGAGCTTCACAAATTCCTGATCTGGGACACCGCGGGCCAGGAGAGGGTACGTACTGCATGGGTCCAGGTTTCAGCAGCGCTCCCGGAGCCTGGCTGCAGAGGGCACGGTGTTGTGCAACAGCTTTTCATCTTATCTGAGCTCATCTCTGCGCACGCCAGCTTCCTTTCACACTCCGGCTCTCTGTCGGCTGCTAGTCACAGTCTCAGTCTCACCCTGCAGGAGCTTTGTGCGCTCGATCAGGAAGCAGGTCAAATACACCAAATATGCATTTTGTTTTTGGTTCATGGCATTGAAGCAAAATAATAATAATAATAAACTTTATTTAGTATGTCGCCTTTAAAGGTGGCTTCTCAAAGCGCTTTACAGAATGAAAACAGCAACAATAAAAAACAACAACATATACACAGTGAGAGGAGACAGCAGATGGTGGTACTGAATACAGTAGGAGCAGAGGGGTAAAGAACAGAACCAGTTGAGTAAAGACCCTTCTAAAGAAAAAGGTTTTGAGTCTGGGTTTGAAGGATTTTAAGCAGGGTAACAGGGTGATATCCTGACCAGTTCCACTTGGGTGTTGGAGAGGCTAGGGAGGGCTAAGGCTTAATTTCTTCCCATATGTCCTGGAAAGTAGAAATATAATTTACACTCGAGAGCTATTTTTTTGCACTTGTGTGACAAATAGATTGTTGTGGATGTAACTTCATTTTAGGCCACCCGGCTGTTTCTGCACACAGCTAGATTTTATTTACCAAATTTATTGAAACAATTTTGTTAACGGATTCATGTTGTGTTTAACGTATTAGGTATCGTGTCTTTTTACCGGTCTGCAAGGTACGTTTCTCTCTAAAGCGAGCCAGAGGCAGATTGGAAGGGCTGGGTTTTATTGCTGTGTTTGAAAGTGGTGTGTTAGCGCCATCTACCCGTGGCACTGCGCTGCAGCACTGAGAGCTGGGCTCGCAGCTGGAGGCTGAATCTGGGCAAAGATGCAACAGGTGTCACTGGAATAGGCTGAGAGACGAGAGATGTTTTTGTGAATTCACGGCGAAGCACAAACTGGACCGCACAAGCACAAAGCACGGGAGTCCTTTTAAAAGGAAGGACAGGAGGCACCTCCGTACACAAAGGCTTGCAACAAGCTCCGCAGCCACACTGGTGAAGCCGGCGGCCTGTCTGTCCGGAAGTGGCAGGATGAGACCCTGGGATCAAACAGCCAGGGTGGGCTGCCAGCCTCTTCTCATTGCTGACCGTGGTCTTATGGAGGGACATGTTTAAAAAGCACTGAGAGAATTTATTTTTATAAAGAGGGTTGAATCAAAGTTCTGCCTTCTGTTCTACCCATTCTTCTCACCAGTAGTTCTTAAGTATTTATCAACCGCAACATGGTATCAGGTATTTGTGAGCATATACAGGAAATAGCCAGGATTGAGGACTTTGTCTAAGAAGGAGGTCCTGGCCTTTTCAAAGCAGTCCGCCATTGTGGCAGCCTGTATACAGGTATACTGCCCACACCGCTCAGGAATGAGGAAGAAAAGAACCTGAATAGAGAAAACTAGATTACAAACAGTAAATCTTATTATGTTACAAAAGTGTAGATAATAAATGACTTGGGAAAAACTCCAGCAGCTTCTGTAATCCCTGGTCTTGTCATCGTCCAGCGCCTGGTCAGTCACTGAGAGGGGCAGTGAGCTGTGGATCAAAGGGAAATAAAAATAAACTTCTTCAGGAAAGCGCCGGCCGCAGCTGTATGAATCAACAGTTTGTGCTGACTCATCCCTTCTTTGCTAAGCCCGAGTGAAAGGTTTTTCAGCGCCCCCAAGATTTATAACGGTTGGCACTTAAGTACTGCCTTTAAAGTGGGTGTCGGAAATGGTTACTCTGTTCTTGTACTCGCAGCTGGTACCTTTGTGTCTTAGCCATTCATTTATGTTTTGAAAAATAAAGATGATCGTTCATAGTCAGCCGTCAGAAGACGAGGGTCTCAAAGCGCTGACGTGGTGTTTCGGTGAGCTTGTGGGGTGAGCGAGGACTGAGCCCCGTTCCTGCCCGCCACTGTGTTACCACCCTGTAGCCTGACCTCGTCGGACCTCAGTAGCTGAGCAGGGCTGGGCCCGGTCAGGGAGACCTCCAAAGGAAAGGTTGGAAAACCAGGTTGCGGCTGTAAGTGGTGGCCGACCAGCAGGTGGCGATCTTCCCCCAGAACCAGAATTTCCAAACCAGTGCCCCAGAATAGTCTTTTGGAAGAGAGGTTAAACCGTGATCCTAACTACTCGGGTGTTGGAAGATTTCCCTCGCACTCTTGGTAAGAGTAAAGGTGTTATTTCCAGCATTCTGGCTAAATTTCAGTCCGGTTTTGGATAAACTGGCTTGCTAAAATTTACCTCTTGGTTCAGTTGGTGAAGCAGTTTCTCTTTCCTTGGCCTCATCTGCTGTTTAATGGGGCTTCCGGCTCAGGAGAGTGGATGAAATGTGGCCCCTCTTATGTGTGCAGCACCTGATGATCCTTTAGGGTGAACAAAACATATAAAAGTACAAGAGTGAGAACTACAAACAGAACTGCTTCTGCTGTTGCTACTGTTGTTCAGCCAATTGAAAGCTTTTGTCATAGGTATTCGCTCAGACACGGGCATACAGATCTCCCAGTTGCCCAATGGTCAGCCAACATCAACAACTGCCAGACAAGCACCTTGTCTGTCTCTGGTGGTTTTGAAGGGTTGAGGAGATAACAGATCAAGGTGTGTGCGCATCACGATGCATTGCAACCAGGAACCCGTGTATCAGATTTCTCGCTGCTAGTTTTTCAGGTCCGTGTCCCAGTTTGTGAGAACAGGCTTACCATGAGGCTATGGAAATTATGCATTTCACTTCTTTATGATTTACAGTGTTTACAAAGCGCACACTTTCATGCAAAGCCCAAAAAAAGAAAACAAGGTCATGTTAGTCATTTCAGGCTTGGCTGTGTGTTTTGTTTTTATATTAAAAAAAAGCTGAAAAATCCATTTCGTAATAAAAACCAGACTCCAGCTGTGAGCGGGGGGCCATGTGTTGTGTAGTGAAAGGAGGATGAGGTATTGAAGACAGGCTGCAGAACTGCTGTGTTCCTCCTGACAGTAGTACGACGGTTAACATACCACAGAGAGCATTCTCTGCTCACGCAAGAATGCCTTTCCTTACATAGCAAGCAGCTCTTTTTGATCCAGCCTGCCTAATTCTGTCCTGGGAATCCTGAGGGGAGACCTGCCTGTTGAGACGGGAGGCCCAGGCAGCAAGTGTCCCTAGCTCCCCTGTGATCTGAGCGCGTGCGCGTTCCCCTAGCGCTGCCTGTCAGGGTCTGTGGCATAGGGGGCGACAAAACGGAGAGGGTGGCACTGCGCGTGCTTTGTGTACAACTAGGAAGTTCGCATTTGTACGAGCAGTATGTGCACAGTGAAGGTTATTTTTATCTCTCCGAGCCTTCTTCGCCTCCCCGTGTCAGTTTTCATCTCTGTAACGCGAGAGAGAGAGAGGGAAAGGCCGCCTGCGGAGCACAGGGCCGGTCGCCCCAGCGTGCGCGAAGGAGGCGAGCTCCCGACGAGCTGCGGCCCGCTGTCGCCCCCCACTCTCCCCGCGTCGGCGGAGGCGTGGAGCCCGCTCTTCCCCGGGAGCCTCTGCCTGGCCGGCGCAGGGTGTTCCTCCCTGGCACGCCGGGGGGAAACTGACACAGCCTCCGCGAAATCTGCTGTTTCTGCGGGAAAAATGAATCAAGCTTGATTAACGAGGCAGCCAAAAGCGATGCTAGTGCTGGAAGAATCTGGGCTCAGATTTAAAGAAACCAGTCAGTTCCTGGTAAGGCTGTCGCTGTGCTTGGCAGTGGCTCTTCATTTCATCACTTCAGAATCACTTTCCATCCTTCTGCCATCTTTCCGCTTTTCTCTCTCTTTTTTTTTTTTTTCCACCCTGCAACCCAGAGGACAGGCCGGCCTCTGTGTGTAGCGCTGATCCCACGGAGCTCGGAGAGAGGAAGCCGGGATGGCCGGTCTGTTCTGCTGGAGTCTCCCCC